CTATTACGGAGATTTTTAAAAATTTGCTAACGAACTTTCTCCAGCCGCCAACTTAAAACCTGGATCACACTGAATCTGACTTTCCGATAAGAAGGTAAGCTTCCCTGACGTTCACCTTCACCAAGTGACTTTGGGCTCACAGGTTCGACTCCGTAAGTGAGCAGACTCCTTTCAGTGTGCATTCCTGACGTGTGGCATGGATTCTACGCCGTGCTCTCTGCCGGAGAATCAAAGGGGAGCTCTGAGCCCAACTCCCTCCTGACAACAGTCATTCAGAACCATGACTACACCATTGTCGCCAGAAACATCCAAACGAGTCAGTTGGCCTTATGCATCTTCTCCAATTTATGAGCAAACGTCGACATCGAGGGTCATTTTTCTTGAAGTTCATTAATTTTGAGAGACGGAAACAGCACAAGTGGGGGAGGGGGGGAGGGGGGGAGAGAGAGAGGGGGGGATTGAGAGAATCCCAAGCAGGCTTTGCACTGTCAGCACGGAGCCCGACGTGGGGCTCGAACCCACGAAAATGAGATCATGACTTGAGCCGAAACCAAGAGTTGGACACCTAACCAACTGAGCCACCCAGGTGCCCCGACATCGAGTGTCATTTTTAAAAAGCTAGTTAAAGAGGCCTGTATCATGGTGGGGACCTACAGTCTGATTTAGATGTGACATACTTTCCATTTATGTGCTCTTTGTTTTCTTCTCTAGGCAAAAAAAGCAATTGGAATTTGTAGGAAATGGACTTAAAAAGGAGGAAATTCTGTAAGCTTTACAGTCATCACCACCAGCCCTTTCTAGAAATTACGTGGTGTGGCTATCACCCGGCCTGGACAGTATTAAGAGTGAGAGCAGAACACCATCAATAATTCTGGTGTAAAGCAGGAGGGTCCTGGGCAAACCGGGACCAAGAGCCGCCTGACCGTTCGCCCCCTCTTTCCTATCGTATTGTGTGGCGGGAGCACATCCCCCGCGTCGCCTGATGCACACACGAGACTGGCATCTTCTCTCCTCTCTTTCACTGGCTCAGCTTAATCCCTGGAGCAAGCTGGCGCGCTAGAGAAGGTCCTTGGGCCAATACGTCTGCCCACGAGCTTCTTCCTCACCACCTGCTTCAAGAAGATTCGCTCTACGCGGTTCTCAGCAGGAGCTGTTCTTGGGTGTTTTTGCTCTGGCTTGCGGCCGAGAGATGCCTTAGAAATCTATATAGGTTTCCTCCAAGGAAGTCATGTAGGACATTCTTCTAATATCGTCACCAAGTGTCCTTTCTTACTTTTTTAAGAACGGAGAGGCAGAAGTTTGGTCTCCCTAGGGTGGTGTTTCCTTCTCACGGACAGAGAGATTTTAGAGACGGTTATATGTAGCGGTTAGGAACTCAGGGCAGGGAAGCAAATGGGCCAGGCCAAATTTTGGTTCTGCCACTTTTCATAACCCTTGGATCTTCAGTCTTCTCACCTGCATATTCAACAGTGTCCTATCTCATGGTGCTGTAGGGAGAATTAAATATTAATATTGCACGCAATGCTTACCATTACGATGGGACTGTGATTTCACCAGGAAATGCAGAATGAAATCTACAGGTCAACCTCAGTAACTACGGTGACCTCGAGAAGCTTTCCTTGTTCTCGCCGTTTTATCACAGATTCTATGTTCCGTAACCCTGACTTTCTTTACGTATTTCTCTGTTTTATTAAGCTACAGTCTCATGATACCTCTAATCCTTTCTGGAATACAGAATAAACAACCAAAAACGCACGATCTTCGGGGCACGTGGGTGGTTCAGTCGGTTGGGTGTCCGACTCTTGATTTCGGCGCAGGTCACGATCTCGCAGTTCGTGGGTTCAAGCCCCACATCGGGCTCTGTGCCTGATGTGCAGAGCCTGCTTGGGATTTTGTCTCCCTCCCTCTCTGCCTCTCCCCTGCTCTTTCTCTCAAAATAAATAAACACTAAAAAAAAAAAGCCCCATCATCTCTGTCAGTTCTATAAGGCATTCAGTGCCCACCTACCCAGCCACATTTTTCTGGAAGAGAAAACCAAAAGTTCAGAGAATGGCCACCATGCAAGTGCATAAATGTACAGATGGGTCCACAAAGTATTTCCCAGGTTCTCAAAAAAAAAAAAAAAAAAAAAAAAAAAAAAAAGAATAACTAATCCAGGCATATGTTTCTTTCCTTAATTGTATTCCTTTAACTTCTTAGAATACCCTTTTATTCACTTCAGTAAAAATTTTCTAACTAAATTGCAATCACTTTAAAAAATTAATGCCACACACACACACACACACACACACACATACACACACACACCCCATAAATGCTCATGGTATGTCTTCAGGATGGAGAGAAGCCAAGCGAGGTACAAAGGAGGAAACAGTGGCAAAGATGTCCAAGGATTTCCTTCCCAGACTGACCATGCTTACTGCTGCTGTCAGTAATGACGGGAACTTACACTTCACATGACAAACTGCAGTGTCTACGACGTCGGACAGATTCAACAAGGCAGATCAGTCCAATCAAATGGAGCAGTAAATTCCAAATCAAGAATTTCAAAATAAACTGGCTGGGCTTTACGCCTAAATGCCCAATAGCTATTGTGAATGTCAGAACCACCAAAGCTGGAATCAATGCTAACGGACAGACGTAAGACTTTCTACTATACCCCCGCAGCCAGCCACTTACAAAATATGTGTCATAGATAACAATTTACTAAATTATAATAAAAACTGCCTGGCAGGATACCAAGTCTGCAGTTTCAAAACCGTGACTCTCAGTGCAGGATTTCTGCCGCAGACTCGGAACAGCTCCTACAATTGTACCGATTTAATAAAATACACGCTAGCTCATAACAGAAGTTTGACTCTCTTTTTCCAGCCCCGTAAGTTGCCCTCTCGGAGGCTACTTTAGGCAGCAATTAAGGTTTACTGTCATAAAGGAGACCCGGGGTCATCTTGCAAAACAAAAGGTGAAGTTACAAGTTTAGCAAGACCAATAACTAGATGACAGCCTGTCTCCTTTAATTACTATTATTTTTTTTAACGTTTATTTTTGAGACAGAGAGAGACAGAGCATGAACGGGGGAGGGTCAGAGAGAGGGAGACACGGAATCTGAAAGAGGCTCCAGGCTCTGAGCTGTCAGCACAGAGCCTGACGCGGGGCTCGAACCCACAGACTGCGAGATCATGACCTGAGCCAAAGTCGGACGCTTAACCAACTGAGCCACCCAGGCGCCCCCAGCCTGTCTCCTTTAAAGGATGGGATTGCCAAGGCCAACGAACAAGCCCCCCACTCTGGATGCACTTAAAGGGCTGGCTTTCCTGGGTGCAGACAATGACCACACTGGGCAAAGTAAGAGGAGATACAGGAAGAATGGCGGGCCTCTATCTGAGCGCCATTAGATGCCTAATGGCTGCTTACTGGGCTTGTCCTGCATCTGCCTTGGTTCTAGAGGGTACGATTTCACTGAGGAAAGGAGCAAGAACTTACGTGTGACCTGACCAGCAGCACAAGCAGCTTCTAGTTTTTGAAATGGGTTACAAAGCTTGCATTTGCTCTTGTGAAACAACTTCACTCAGGGGCACCTGAGCGGCTCAATCGGTTAAGCGTCCAACTCAATTTCAGCTCAGGTCATGATCTCATGGTTTGTGAGTTTGAGCCCTGAATCAGGCTCTGAGCTGACAGTGTGAAGCCTGCTTGGGATTCTCTCTCTCTCTCTCTCTCTCTCTCTCTCTCTCTCTCACTGCCCCTCCCCCACTAGTGCTCTCGAGTGCTCCTTCTCCTCCCCCTAAAATAAATTTTAAAAACTTTAAAAGCCTATAAAACAACTTCAAATTAAAGTACTTCTGGGGCGCCTTGGTGGCTAAGTCAGTTAAGCGTCCGACTTCGGCTAAGGTCATGATCTCACGGTCTGTGAGTTCGAGCCCCGCTTCAGGCTCCGTGCTGACAGCTCAGAGCCTGGAGCCTGCTTCGGATTCTGTGTCTCCCTCTCCCTCTGCCCTACCCTGCTCATGCTCTGTCTCTCTCAAAAATAAACATTAAAAAAATAACAATAAACGTACTTCTGACACTTTTTAAATAAAAACACAGCAGATGGCTTGATTTATATTTCAAGAAAAGAAGTCAATTATCAATAGATATGAGATTTCTGTTCTTACAGGTTTTCATGGCTCTTTGCAATATAATGGTATTTTAAACTCATTTAAGAACTGAATGGCTACAAACGGCTAATATTAAAAATCATTTTTACATAGATTTCTGACTGTACCTGCTTTGTTTCCTTTATTGTCTTACTGAAAATGTGTGATTGGTTTGATCCACAAGTGTTACCCAATACATTTTAAGCTCCATGAGGGCACTGCCTGGAAATGTGAGGGCAGGATTCACTGATTTAGAATAGTCGTTATCAACCATTTGCCTCTTTTTATTCTTCTTGGCTGATGATATCCACTGGATTTAAAAAAATTTTTTTTCAATGCCAGTTTCAAGGACTCCAGGAAGTTAAAACGTTTAATTATTAACCATTAGTGATATTAAAATATTTATATGCCTTTTAGTTCTACTTAATTGAATTTGGTAGAAAGAGTAATGGAGGCAGTCCTTTACTTGGCAGATGACAGCATTATCAGTTTGTCTGCAAAAGTAAGGCTTCGGATAGATCTTTCTTCGGAGGCCCTATGTGGATTTGTCTGAAATCACTTGTGCTAATGGAATGTTTTTATCCTCAGCCGGGACAAGTGAAACAAGTCCACGTTTCGAAGTGGGATCTCATAAAGACATCCACACGGCATGAGTTTCCCCAACAACGGGACTGCAAATCTTAGCTCGGCTTTAGGTGCCCTGGGGTACACTTTGAGTCGAGGTACTGCATGTCCACACCAGTAGGTCCCTTTGGGGGTGTGTTATTTGCCCACCACAATTCAAGGCACAAGACTGGGAAACAATTCGGGATAAACCAGCAAATGGATGTTCTAGACGGTGAAAGAGTCTTGGATCCGTGAGTTTACCTGATCTGTCCACGAACCAGAGGTCTGTTCTTTGTCCTATTCATGTTTGAATCAAATGGCACCTCAAAAAACTGCAAAAAGATTGAAAAGAAAGACAGAAGGCATTAAATATAATGTGAAACAAGTCTTCTCTTCTGCTTCTGTTCTATAATTTTGTCCACAGCAAATTTCATTTTAATTTTTACTAGCATGAACCCATACTCTTGGTACTCGATGGAGGAAAACTCTCTGGAAGAGACATGTTCTAAAACTGTATGAATTCATTGTCCAGGTCATGCACGGGTTCCACACTCATCCACTCTGAAAACCACTTACTGAATATACAGCTGCTTCTTCCAGGGCCACTGTGGCAGGTGTAAAACATTAGTGCTCTGAATGACTTCAGCACCTCGCACACACATCCCAAAGCCTGCGAGTCGACCAAGAATAAATGAACCCTGGGACACGGGCGGCTGAAGCGATTAAGACCCCAGATGAAGCCGTATACAACCGACGAGGCTACCCTGTGACCAGGGTGACAACCCCTCTCTGCCTGGCCTAGTTCCCCTCTGTGCCTGCGGGTCCCAGTGTCACTCGCAGCAACGCTTTCACTTTCAGAGCATCCCAGTTTGGACGATACGTTGGTATCGTCACCCTAACAAAGAAGTACTAGACCTGCGGCCAAGAAATTCATACTATAGTGTAGGGGACAGCAAGCTCTAGCTTATGGGCCACCTCCAGCCGGCACCTGCTTCTGAATGGCTCACAAGATACGAATGTGTTTGTTTGTTTGTTTTTAATTTTTTTTTCAACGTTTTTTATTTATTTTTGGGACAGAGAGAGACAGAGCATGAACGGGCGAGGGGCAGAGAGAGAGGGAGACACAGAATCGGAAACAGGCTCCAGGCTCCGAGCCATCAGCCCAGAGCCCGACGCGGGGCTCGAACCCACGGACCGCGAGATCGTGACCTGGCTGAAGTCGGACGCTTAACCGACTGCGCCACCCAGGCGCCCCATGTTTTTAATTTTTTTAACGATTAGAAGAATAAATCCAAAGAAGGAGAATACTTCGTGACATGTGTAAATTACATGAACAGTCAGACTTTAGTGTCCATAAATGAAGTTGTACCATAACTCAGCCATACTCGTTTGTCTACGCCTTGCTCCGGCTGCTTTCACACCGCGGCGGCCGGGTCGGGTGGCTGCAACGGAGATGGGATGGCCCAGAAAAGCTAAAATATTTGCTCTCTGGCCCTTTACTGAATGCGGTGTGCCAACCTTTCCTCTAGTGGAAACACTGGCGTACAGATGATTGTAATAACGGGTAGAGTACAATGAAAGAGAGATGGTCTCCGATGGGCTCGGAATCAGCTGGGGAGGCAGGGAAAAGAGCCTTCCGAGCACTCTCCGACAGACTTAAGACTCAGCAGGAGTCCGATGCTTTCAGGGGATTGGAGGGGAGAAAAGAGCAGTCTAGACGCAGGAGGAAGCAGACAGAAAGAAAGGCACCGGAGGCAGAAGTCTCATGATACACTCAAGTTGGCAGAAGAATTCAGGATGGCACAGAGGTTAAGGGTCCGGGCTTTGCGGTTACAGAGGAGGGTTACATCTCCGCTTTGCCAATTACGAGCGCCTAAGTAACACTGTCTACAAGCCCGTTGCCTCATCTGCAAAACGAGGGTAATAATATATAACTTGCAAGGTTAATGTGAGGATTAATAAGATACTGACATACAGTATAATGCTTGGAAGGTGCTTAATAATGGGTAGTTTATTTAATGTTTATTTTTGAGAGAGAGAGAGAGAGAGAGAGAGAGAGAGAGAGCGCGTGCGAGTGGGGGAGGAGCAGAAAGAGAGGGAGGCACAGAATCCGAAGCAGGCTCCAGGCTCCGAGCTGTCGGCACAGAGCCCGACCCGGCGCTCGAACCCACGAACTGTGAGATCATGACCTGAGCTGAAGTTGGACATTTATGTGAGCCACCCGGCGCCCCAACTCTCCTGTCTTTAAGTAGAACCACAACGTGTGCAATCCTGCCCTTGTCCTGAGTTCTGATTTTGTAATGTCACTTGATGGTTGGTGTTTTTCCTTTGGATATTTTAACATCATCACAAATGCAATGTGTTCCAAACTGAAATCAACACATTTCCATGCAAATCAAGTACTTCTCCAGAGTTCTTTTTTTTTTAATCAAATACATAACTTTTTCTCCTATAACTCACATCAAAATCTTTAGATCAGCTTTGATTTCTTCTATTCATTGACCAGCCATATTCATCACCAAGTCCTGGTAATTTAGACTTCATAATCTCTCTCAAACCTGCCCTTCCCAGTTTACTGTACTATTAACACTTGTACGGAATCATAATAAAACTACTTGCTCAAAAAGATTGAATGATTTCATGTTCGCCTCACTGCTCATTCTCCGGTGGCCTTGGAAAGTCCAAACTCTTTTTTTTAAGTTTATTTATTTATTTTGAGAGAGACAGAGACAGCACAAGTGACGGCAGGGCAGAGATAGACGGAGAGATAGAATCCCGAGCAGGTTCTGTGTTGCCAGAGCAGAGCCTGATGTGGGGCTCGAACCCATAAGACCGCGAGACCATGACCTGAGCCAAAACCAAGAGTCGGACACTCAAATGACTGAGCCAACCAGGTGCCCCTGAAAGTCCAAATTCTTTGTATGTTACATGGGTTGAAGGCCATCCCTCATCTCACCCCACCACTATCTGCAACCTTTTATCACTTGCTTTACTTCTGTCCCTGTGCCACACTTGTCACTGTCTTGTGAACATAGCCAAGGGCCCCGGGGAGTTGGGAGACTTGGGCAGCTTTTAACTCCGAGGCCGGAGGAAAACAGATGTCATGAAGACATCACCACAATCAGGATACTGTACATATCCATCATTCCCAAGTTTTGTCATGCCTCACTGTAATCCCCTCCCCCCACCCAGAGCTCTTCCTCAGGCGGCCAGTGAACCATGCCTTGAGTCCCTATAGATCACTTGAATTTTCCAGACTTTTATGTAAATGGCATTTTACAATACACACTTTCTGTCTGGACTTTTTTTCATGAGGCAAAATTATTTTGAGATTCATCATATGGCTCAGTGTATCAATAGCTCATTCTTTTTTATTGCTGAGCAATATTCCATTCTATGTGTTGGTAATACCACTATTATAATAGATCTATTCACTTGTTGATGGATATTTGGGTTGTTTCCAGTCTGGGACTATTATAAAAAAGCAGCTATGGACATTTGTGTTCAAGTCTTTGTGGGGGCATATGCTTTTATTTCTCACAAGTAAAGAGTGTGCAACATACAGTAGGTATATATTTAAATTACGTAAGAAACTGTCGAACTGTTTTGCAGCGTGGATTGCCGTTTTACATTCCTCCTATTGGTGTATAAGAGTTCCACTTCTAGACCCTTCAAGAACTCCATTTTGGGTCATCTCCTGTGCCAAAGACAAGGGGAACACAGCTTGGCTAGCACACAAAGGTAGTTATAGGCATCAGCAGTGGTCCTGTGACCAGGTGCAGATACAAAGAATGTAATAGTTCTGAGTACTTTTCTCTTATTTGGATATAAACATTTTATTCCTCTCTCCCCTTCTCCTAGTGGCAAAGGTATGCTGACGGTATTTAATCTCATGTCTCAGAACCGAGGCTGGACAAACATCAAGGGGGGTGGGAGGGCTGTGACCCAGCCTGAAGACGGATGAACATCACCCAAAGATGCAAAAAGGGACTAGTGAATCTTGGGGTAGTGAATTTGGGGTTGTAAGAGGGACACTTTCATCATGTCGGGCTACGGCCTTCTCTGGGAGCTAGGTTTGACCCAACGGCGTGTCCCGGTGCTCAGCTGACAAGGCGTTGTGTTCGCGTGTTGCTCCAGTCCACTTAGCCCGGAGCCACAATGCCCCACGCTCCCCTCCCTGTCCAGCTGTAGGGGCGGGACGGCCGCAGAGCTCGTATGCCATCTGGAAGGTGGAATCGAAAACAGCGGCCACGCTCACACTTGGAAAACTGCTCTAAGCTCAGGCACTACCAAGGCTCACCCCCAACCGGTGGGGCTCTGCCTGCTGCCCCGGCCGCCTGCAGGGACACCGGGCCCGCGCTTCACCATCCTGCTGGATCTCTGGGCCACAGCCAATTCCTGAGCCCGCCCACTTCTCAGAATCCTGGCTCAAGTCTGTGTGCCATTTCGTAGTCAAGTGCACGTGCTCTTGCGCAGGTTACCTGTGTCGTCAAGGTTGCCGGCGGGGAGGCGGCAAGAAACGGACACGAGTTCCGAGTTCCCGTTTGTTCCAGTGAGTTTCACCTCAACCTTGCAGACTGCAGGTTGCTCCTGCTCTGCCCTCCCCAGCCCTCCCTGCCCTTCCCTCCGATGGTCCTGCTCAGCTCGGCCCAACACCAGGTATAGGCACCACCAGAGCCTTCCAGACGGCTTCACTCCCTGCACCGCCTTTGGCTTATTTCCCCACAATACATCCCTTAAATCACTCACAGTGGCTCTGACGTTCTGCCCAAACCCCAATAAGGGCTTCTTCTCTATTACTGTCAACCCTGCCACTATTTAAAAGTATTTAAAATGTTTATTTCTTTCGAGAGAGAGTACAAGCCAGGGAGAGGCAGAGAGAGAGGCACAGAATCCGAAGCAGCCTCCAGGCTCCAAGCTGTCAGCACACAGCCCGACGCGGGGCTTGAACCCACGAACCACAAGATCATGACCTAGCCGAGGTCGGACGTTCAACTGACTGAGCCATCCAGGCACCCCTAAGTTAGAAGTATTTAACTTCTCAATACGCCCACCTTATCTGAAGTCCTGAATGACAGGCTTCCTGAGATACGTGAATTTATAATTCTTAAGGAGAACCATGCAAATAGGCGCAAATAATTTTTAAAGGAACCAGCAGTGCAAATGAATATGTACATTTGTAGACAGTGTTACATTCATTTTATGATGATTTATAAGTGTTAAAAAATTCTTTGCCCCTGAGAGTCTATAGTCTTTCCTGAAGTAGTTCAAGTTACATGTAATTAAAATGTTCCGAATCTGTTTAAATTCCCTCCCTTCCCCAACAATCAAA